CGTGGGTGTCTGGGGCGATGGCAGCTGCGCCGCGAAGGGGCTGCGGGGCCGCCCGGGCTTGCGAAGCTCTGCGGCTGCTCCTGCTCCTCGGGGCTGCGCTCGGGCCTGCCGGGGCCGCGGTGTATTTCCAGGAGCAGTTTCTGGACGGAGGTTGTGGGTGTGAGGAAAAGGGCGGCGGGGCTGCAGCTGGTCCTGGGTGTTAAAGGGTGACGGTTTATCCCGCCTGCGGGCCAGCGCTGACCAAACTCTTGTGTTCCCTTGTGGCAACGGCTTTGCGGGACAGCCAACTGGCACAAGAGGTGGATGAATTCTGAGCACAAGCCAGACCTAGGGAAGTTTAAACTCACAGCTGGGAAGTTTTATGGAGATCCAGTGCGAGATAAAGGTCTGTGGACTGTGGGAGCTTTGGGAGCAACTTGAGGTTTCCCCTGCCTGGCAATGAAAACGTTTCTCTTGCGAATGGAGAGAACTTAAGTCTTCCTTTGCAACTAATATCTTTACAGGTCTGCAGACTACTGAAAATTCTAAGTTTTATGCTATCTCCTCAAGATTTAAACCATTTAGTAACAAAGGGAAGACTCTGGTCATTCAGTACACTGTGAAACATGAGCAGAAGATAGACTGTGGTGGGGGATACGTTAAAATTTTTTCCTCAAACTTGGATCAGAAGAACCTCAGTGCAGACTCACAATATTACATCATGTTTGGTGAGTTCAGTTACTTCTGCCTTATTAAAATGCAACCATTGTTTTATGGCTGCATTCTGCATATTACATATGTAGCTTTCCATTTGAGAAACTCATAAACATGTATCTCAAAATGAAAATTTGTCCAGTAGTATTAGAAGGCAGAAAGTAAGTAATGTCTCTTTGTAGAAAGAAGTTAAGACACAAAGCATGTAATCTCTTTGTAGGGCCAGATATTTGTGGATCTGAGACAAAGAAAGTCCATGTTATTTTAAATTACAAGAATAAACCGCATCCAATCAAAAAACTAATAAGATGCAAGGTAAATGTAAATCCATTGTAGACTGGTATTATAGCTCTTATGAACAGCCTTGCATCAGAATTATGTATTTCAAGAACCTTGAACATTTTACTTCCTTTCTTTAAAACCCAGGTGGATGGATATACACATTTGTACACTTTGATTATAAAGCCAGATCAGACTTACAAAGTAAAAATTGATAATGAAATGGTTGCGTCAGGCAATCTAGAAGATGATTTAGATTTTTTGCAACCAAGGAAAATAAATGATCCAAGAGTGAAGAAACCCCTTGATTGGGATGATCGAGTCCAAATTGATGATCCAGATGATGTCAAACCTACGGTAACTTATTTTCTTGCATCTCCTCTTACTCTTTATTACTGGGTTACTTCATTGTTGCTAAATTCACATTCGGTGCCGCAGTTCAAGAATAGCTTAACTGTGCTCTTTGTTTTGCTTTCTTACTCCCCCTTTTTTCAGGACTGGGATGAACCTGAATACATTATGGACACTAGTGCTCAAAAACCTGAAGACTGGGATGATTCTGTGAATGGAGAATGGCATCGTCCTATGGTCAAGAATCCTCTATACAGAGTATAAATAATTTTAATTATGGGTGGCCTTTAAAGTAACTGTTTTCTGCCTGATTGTGTTCAAAACATGTGGTTTATCGTAGGGCGAATGGAAACCAAGGCAGATTGATAACCCAAATTATAGAGGAGTTTGGCCCCATCCACAGATTGACAATCCAAATTATTCGCCAGACTTCAGTATCTACAGCTATGAAAATATTAGCATCATTGGACTAGATATCTGGCAGGTCAGTTGCCTTTTTGCAAGCAATAGCAAACGAAGAACTTTTCATTGAGTAGACAACAGGCTGTTTACCCTTTGCATATAGATAATATCTGTTGTTTTGGGATCTTAGCTGGTGACCTATGCTTTTTCATTTGCTGTTATTTAAATGCACTTGAAGTATTTAACTGGGTCTCAAGCTGTTGATGGCTGCAAAAATGACAAGGAGACAACTGTCCTCTGGATGGGCCTTGGATCTTTTCCTCCAGTACCTCAAGCTTCCTCAGTAGTCAGTGATCAGACTTCTGACTTCTTAGAGTGGTACAGTGCCTTAACTTCTTTAGATTTTTTGCAAATACTTCTCAAAAATAAAGTATTTCTCAGCAAATGTGTAACTGAAGGGTTCTTGATGTGATTAATATATATTAATATAATACAAATATGTGAAAGATTAGATTAAAACCGCTGAAATGCCTCTGTTTTCTTGTTTTGATTTTTTTATTTTGACTCCCCCTTTCTCAAAGGTGAGAGCTGGAACCATTTTTGACAACTTTCTGATAACCGATGATGAAGAATATGCAGAAGACTTTGGAGATGAAACTTGGGGCGAAACAAAGGTAACGTGTGAAATGGATGTGTCCGTTTTCGTTCTTTATTACCAGATTTAAAAAAACTCACCATCCAATTTTATCAAGGTTATATTTTTATATTGGAGTTGCACCAATATGATCTTAATATTAGGGTCCTGAAAAGGAAATGAGCATAAGGCAGAGTGAGGAAGAGCAGCAGAGAGACAGGACCACAGAAGAAAAATACTTCCAGGAAAAAATTAAGAAAAAAAAAGAGAGAGAGAAAGAGCATAGAAGAGAGAGATCAGTGAGGAAAGCTATGAAGAAAGAAGAGCTTTAATGCTGTTCACAGGCATTTTTCACTTTGAAATCTATATTATAAAGATTTTGATGTTTTGTTAATGACTGGTTGAAATCTACACTGATAAAACTGTATTAACACAGGATATAAATAAAAGTAGGGATTTCATGAACAATTTCATTTGTTCAATAAAATTACCATAAGGTAGTGTTAAATTCTCTGTAGTAAAGGCTTTTTTTTATTATTATTATTAAATATACTTCAACAATGTTAAGATATATTAAGAGCGCGTATAATAACACACTAGGCTTTCTCAACAGTCTTACACTTCCGTAGTTTGGTTATCAAATATCAACTTCGTTCTCATTTTTCTTGAGGAAATATAAAAACAAGCTTTTAAATTCCTAAATGATTCAGCATGTCAAATATGTTGCGAAACACCCTTCACACACCTCCACCTAAGGTAGCGAGGAGCTCGGCTAAGCCTCTCTAGCGACTGGCCTGCACTTGTCAGAGTTTCAAGGATTCCTGCAGTCCTGGATCTTCCGCAAACCCCAGCAGCTGCTCTCGGCTTCCTGCTGCTGCTTATCGGCCGAGGGAACCTTCTTGCTGTCAGGATGTCCCCAGTGATATGGGTCTATGTACGCATGAGTCTGTGCTTAGACATGTAAGTGCATTCAGTTTTTCCCTTCAGAAATCTAATGAATACAGATCGTGCCTGGAAGCTGTCTTATTTTTTTTTTCAATAGACAGAGAAGGGGGGCGGGGGGAAGCTTTCTGGAGGGGAAAAGAGGGGGTGTTAAAACCATGAACAAGATGTCTATTCTTGTCTGACCTCGTACCTCAGTCTTGTTCTGGCATTTTCCTCTATGCTTTTTTTTTTCCCCTCCCCTCTTGCGCGGTTCTAGGCTCGCTCTTTCTCAACAGAAACAACGCTATAAATTTAACAGAAACCGAAGGCCGTTGCTGTAACCTTTACCTCACAGCTCCCCCGAGCCAG